AGACGTGCTAGTCCTTACTGATGTGTAATCCAAATTAGCATCAACAGAAGTGATAAGTCAATTAACTCACACCAATTAAGTAACAAACTATAAAGCCATTCAACGTTACAAATATATATTCGTGTCCTAAATTATAGGTTATTTTGGTTCTTCTAGGTACATAGTTTTTGCTCTCCACTTAGATGTACTGAGTGCTGAAACCTGGCCAGCATTTCGCACTGGATGAACTGTGCTTGACTGAAAAATTTGACCCAAACAACGCTAGACATAGGAAGATCAAGGCTGAAATTGAGCTGGGCAGTGGCCTGCCTGACGTCCGCAGCACTCGCCAGTGCATCCAAGCTATGAAAGATGCTGGATTTGAGGTGCTGTACTAAAACCCTCAGGCCATGTGGTTTAATTTCACAGAGATAAATCTAGGTGAAACTATTTGGGGATGGAAAACAATGACTGGGTTCTTCTGTTTAATTATAGATTGTCTTCGCCAAGGATCTTGCTGAGGATTGTCCATGCCTATGGTACAAGGAAATAGATCCCGGCCATTTCTCATGGGCAAACTTCAGTAACTCCCGTGTCAGAAAATTCATCACTCACGCAATTGTAATAAAAACTTTAGTTTAAGACATGTTTCTATTCTAGGTAGTCGTATAATCTGCAGAATTTGGTCTCTCTTCAGATGTCTTACTAATCTACTCTTTTTTTTTTGGCAGGTTGCCACACTGGAGTTCCTCCGTATTGCCCCGAAAGGCTGCAATAGGCTGTTCAGCATCATGCAGACTGCCACCCACGGTTGGTGACAGGCAGCCGGTAAGTCTCGACTGGAAAGAAAATTTGAATCTAGTAGTTGGAATCATACAATTGAGCAACCAAATTCAAATTAGGTGGAACTAACTGATGATGTATGATCTCAGGGAAGAGATACTTACGGTGACCTTCTTTGTGCTTTGGCCGGAAACCTCTGAAGGAGAGTGAATTTTAAAGCAATCTACAATGTCATATATGCAGTATGGGCTTGCATCTTAATTACGAGCTAAGAAAAAAAACTGCCTAAAATCATTGTTCAGCAGCGAAGTATTGAAACAAATGTAATCTTTTGCTTGTTATGTGTTATGTACTGGAGTGCTTGTTACGATTACCACCTGGAACAAACATGTGTTTGGAGTATTGTCTCTTACGTCGTTTCAACAAAAGTATAATGCCGGTTGACGTCGTGGAGAACTTGCCGGGAATTGAAATTTCTCTAGTCACCAGTAGCATTTGATGAATGATTACTGCACCTGTCAGCTGCTAATAAAGTAATAATGATATTACTACGTAACCACTGGCTGGCTCTACAACTACAAGCAAAGCACTGCCTCAGTGATCGACCACCAACTCCAGCACCACATCCATCCAATAAATCCTACTAGAAATTACAACCTACTTAACCTTCCTAATACCTTATGATGACATGAAGCAGCAGCGTGAATTGACATGGATAGATCCAAGAAGCCCAAATCATCAAACTTAGCATCACACAGGCGATTCCAGCTACTGGACATGAACAAGTCGTCGTCCTCGCTGAACATGTCGACGTCCTCTCTGAGGAGCATCGGCGAGGAGGCAAGGAAGGGCGGCGGAGCTGTTGCTGTGCAAGCAAGCAGGAGGGCGACCACGGTGAGATTTGCTCCTCCTCCGCTGTCGTCGGCGACAAAGGCGAGCTCGGGTCTGGTTTCCCACTCTCAGTCTCAGCAGGCATTGGCAATGGCAAGGCCTGCGACTGCAAGTGGAGCGCGCCCGGGCTCTGCCTCATCAGGGACGAGGTGCAGGACGCCTGTAGGGAGGTTGCCGGAGCCGGCTGGTCCCAAGGCAATGAGGAGGAGCTGGGGGTGGACAGCTGCTGAATTGGATGCCAAGGAGGCGGCAGCGAGCGGAAATCCTGTGGTCTCGAAGGTCATGGCAAAGACGCACTCCAGAAGTAGCTCGGTGAGTCATTCAGAAACCAGTGTGTTTATTGGCCTGTGTTTCTGAATATGTATGGAGAAGCTTTGTCTCCGATCCTTTGCATGATGAAGTCTTTCATGAGTGTTTCTTTGTTTCCGTTTTGAACATAACTGGATGACTGCTCACATTTACTGTGGAATTTACATTAGCAAGCAATTGTTTCCCACAATTTGTGCACGAATATAATGTTCTGTGATGTTCGGAACTCATGTGTACGTTGTTGGTCCATTTGAGTCTAGTGTTAACTGTCAACTTAGGTTGATAACACATTTCACAGATCCATACCTCATTGGCATTTTGAGTCTAGTGAATAATGACGAGGCCAAGCACTTACATAAGTAGACATGACAAGACATCCTAATTAGCATCTTGCTCTAACAGTGTTTGCACAAGAAAGAACTTCTACGAAAAGCTATGTTCATAAATTTTCATTTTTTCTCTCTCTAAGGGTGAACATGACAGACGTTCTGGTTTCTAATGTTCAGTTTTGTCTTAGAGAAATTACGTTAACAACATGCAATATAGTAGTGCTTTACGTCTATTGGCATCTTTGCGGCTCTTTAACGTCAACCATTTTGTTTGTCGTTAGCATGCATTGCCACATTTGGCTAGTGCTGACGGATGTAACTTTTATATGAGAAGGACATCTGAACCGATTTTCCAACCAGGGTAATAAAAAAAGGATTTAAATAGTAATTTCTAATTATTAGTGTAGCAATCCCCTTTATTTGTTTTGGGTTATTCTTTTTGAGTGAAACGTAAAAAGCATTAGGTGCACCTAATAAGATTTCATGGTTCTGTGTCAAATCTCTGCCTTTTGTCACCGACTGGATTAAGCCACACCAGTGATAAACTTCACTGAGGTCACCGTCAAACCGTACGGAACTAGAAGATCCATTTCGGTCACTTCAAAAATCTCAGCTGCCACGATAAATGAATATAATGACTTAATGAGATGATATTTGAGTCTGCTGATCTTGTTCAACAATCCACTCAGGCCCCAAGAAGATTGCCAGCAGAGGAGAAAGAGAAACCATTGCCAAAGAGAGGCAGTAAGATCATGATCACCTCCACCTCTAGGACGAAGACAAACCTAGGCACGCCTCCAAAAACAGAGACGCAGGGAAGCAGAAGCCCCCCTGGCGTTGCAGCTGCAAGGACGAACATGAAGGCTCCCAACAGTGTGTCACTGAAGAACATGGACACAGTCTCCCCTCCTCCCAGAAAAACATCCGTCGCGACCATCGGCGCCTGCTGGGAGTCTCTACCATCAGATCTTCAGAACCTGGGGCTGGTAAACACTTTGTCCGGACTCTTGGTTCTGCTTTCGCCCACAACATTGGTGCCTCTCAATATGTAGCTGAACATTCTAGCTTGTTGCAAAATATGGTCGTGTGTGCATGTAGGAGGTCATCAGGTACAGGGATGACGCGGAGGCTGCTGCTGTAGAGGCCCTGCATCAGTCCTCTGCCGCAGAGACTTTGCTACGATGTCTCAGGTGCATGCATCCTACCTTATCACCGCTTGAAATGATTTGATCGAATTTTAGACTTTATTTTATCCCCATTTGAAATAATTTGATCAAAACTTACTGAACTCAACTTGTTTCTACAGTGCCTTTGCAGACTTGACCTCCGCCGTGGCCGAGCTATCGCCGCAGCAGACCGTCGACGAGTTCCTCGCCCTCCACGGGGCGCTCGGGGCCGCAGTTCCCCGCGACGACAAGGGAGATGGTCACGCCGCCGCCGGGGCCTGGCTGCGTGCCGCAGTCACCACTGACCTCGCACACTTCTCTCTACTATACTCCGCGGCGTCTCGCAGCAAGTCCAGCGGCGCGGCGTCGCCTACCGTGTCCCCGGCGTCGCCGCCACCACCGGCACAACGGGCGGCGCCATCTGGAGAAGCCGGCGCGGAGGAGTCGTGGATGGAGGCGGCGCGGAGGGCGCTAGGAGAGCAGATGCGGGCGTGGTTTCTTGGCCACGTGGAGCGGCTGCTCGACGGCGACGTGGCCGGGACGCTGGGGCAGCTCAAGAGGGTGAACGACTGGCTGGACGCCGCCGTCGGGCTGGGGCCGGAGTCGGACGCCGTCGAGCGGGTCAGGAAGAAGATCTACGGTTACCTGCTGGACCACGTCGAGTCGGCGGTGGTTGCGCTGAACGGCGGCGTTGCAGCTGCCCGCCGAAAATAATAAATAAATAAATATTATATATATATATATATATATATATATATATATATATATATATATATATATATATATATATATAAAGTGTACAAATGCCGACATGTATAGCATGCACGTGGCGCCTGAACTAGAGGACTCCTACTTCGCCTCAAAAATCTCAAATAAAGCTCTTTTTTTTTCCGGAAATGCTATACAACAACCGGATACTTTTATCACTCGGTGGCAAACGAATATTTTTGCCGTGGAATCGCACGTCCGCCTCGCCTTGAGTGTCATAGTCATTATGCCCATTGTGTCTCAAGCCCACTCCGTCCCATGCCATTGCCGTGCTCGCTCGTCCCCACGCTGCCGCCGCCGCCGCCGCCATCCCCGGCATCTTCCTCAAGTTCGGCGAGCTTCTTTCCCAACTCTGACGGCGCCACCAAATTTATCTCTGTCCTTTCATAGAAAAAAAAATTGTTACTCGTGATTTGTAATTTGTTACTTGTGATTTGTGTCAAAGAGGAAGAGTAGAGAGGAGAAAGATGAACATTATCTATACGGAAAAAATTCAGTGCTAAAACAGCGGGTGATAGATAGACAAGCTCTTTTTTTTCCGTCTACAATGAAAATTGCAAGCGGATAGACTTGGTGCTGTTATTTTACTACGGTGGGCCCCACGGCAGCTCCTAATACAACGTGCTCAGGTACGGTCGGACCGTCTGCCTCCTCTCCATTCCGCCACCGCAACACTTCCCTACCCGAATCTCCCACCGCATTGAGGGCTCCGCCGCGCCAATGGTGTCCCCCACCGCCGCCAGAGCCCGCACCGGCCGAGGCGGGGCTGGAGAGCATGGAGGGCCTCGTCCTCGACACGGTCATCTCAAGGGCCGGCGCGCGCCCCGCAGCGGCGCTCGCCTGCGCCAGCACGCGCCTCCGCACCGCCGTCGCCGACGACTCCCTCTGGCGCGGATTCTGCGCTGAGGACCTGGGGCTCGACGCGCCCGTCGATCCGGAGGGCCAGCCTCTCCCTCTTTCCAGGTTCGCGATGCTAGACCCCGGTCTTTCGTTTTTTTCCTGTTTTGCCCCTTTGTCCCGATTGGAGCAACAGAGGAGCGAGCGGCCCATCTCCGGGAGTCGGTTGTTGATTCTTCATTTGCTTCTGTTCGCTGTGCTTGGAGTATAGGATGATTCGATTTTTTTTATCTTGTATTGTTGCCACTGAGTTCGACTTTAGGATTTATGATGATAACGTCTGACTCTTGAATTATACACCATGATTTTTTCGGAGCTATGACCAAGAAAATGGAAAAAAAATAAAACTCAGAACAAGGAATCTGTTGACAGTTCGAGAAAAAAAGAGGTACGGGTGTGGATGAGGGTGGTCACGCTTTAGAGCTAGTCAATTGCTCGTTTCAGTGTTTCCTTAGATGGAAGTAGTGCTTAGCTCTTGTTTTGCTACTTTGTCATTTTGTACACCTATAATTTAGCTTCCGGTTGTAATATTTTGCGTACAAGAATGCAATAGGGTCCTTTTACAGTGTGGGCTTGATAGATGATTTTTCTTTAAATTTTGGGCCATATTGACCCAAAGCAGGGGCAAATAATTGCGCTTATAAGTCATCCAAACAACTTTTCCAGTACATAGAAGTAACAAAACATGCCTGTATCGTACACCAGTTTTTGGGTGAAGTCAGCATCCCAAACATGCCTTAGAATAGTTAATAAGGTGATGTCAAAAGTAGAGCAATTATGGCCCAGTTTCGCACAGCTTCAGTTCCAAGAAATTTGTGGAATTCTTGGAGCTGGGTATTTATAGCTGAATTCTTAAATTTGGAGCTCTAGGTATGTTCAGAGCATTTCGGTGAAGCATTTTGTTTATATAGTTTAGATTAATTTAAAAATTTAAACCACCTTAATTTCAGTCTTCAAACTCATCCAACCTGGATTTCAGAGCTAGAGCTTTGCAAATTAGGCACTTTATTCTATCCCTCCTGTTGGCCTTGTAAAGAATTATTTTATTTACAATAATACGCATCTATATGTAGAAAAGAATATGCTGTTTTGTGCAAATAAAGGAAATTGGTTATTTCCTCTTGCTTTTGTATGTGAACAGTTATGTATTTAAAAGCACAGTTGTTTCTATTGCAACAAAAAGAATCTAATTTCATGCGAGATTCCATTGGGGTTCAATGATTGAATAGTAAAAGTTGTTTACTCAAATGATTGGCATAACTCAGTTCTTGATTGTCCTTAAACCAAAGTTTTACTAGATGCAATAACATTTAGGATGGCACATGCCCTATTTGTATTACTGGCAAGGAGAAGTTTCCCACTAGCATTCCTAATCCTACTACTTGGCCGACTCTAATTTTATTTGTAGTACTAGTGCCTCACTTTGGTGTGGGACATTTTCGGGGCTCTATAATTGCAATATTGTGAAGGCGTAACAACCAAACCCAAGGCAAAGTAATGCAAAGCAAACAAAAACAAAAGGAAGGAACTTGTTATTATTTAGTGGTAGATTATTATATAACAGCATGAGGAATGAATTCAAGGGGCCTTAAAATATTTGAGGCTTTTAGAGGGACAATACTTTGTACTTTTTTGAGGTTGTGCTTCACCCGATTTTTTTTTTGGTCTTGTGTGCTTACTTTGGTGCCCTTCCTTCTTAGTTCTCTCCATGGTTTTCATTTGCGTAATTCATGTGAGTATACATTCTTGTGCTGTATCTCATGATGTTATATCTGATTCCAGGGGCTATTGTGCATAAGGGGTACTATAATGTCACAATTCATCTTCTGTTCCATGGCATGACTTGAAATTATTTCTTCTTTTCAACCTTTAATCTCAATATGTATATACAACAAGAACGAAGCCTTTTAGGGTGCGTTTTGATCCTTAGCTCCACCTCCCTTTGTTTCGCTAGGCAAATTAGCCTTGCCTAATAAAGTTATATCCAACAACGTGGTTGTTTGGTTCTTTTGCCTGGCTGGGCAAAATTACAGAGCTAGCTGTTTGGTTTCATAGCTAAAAACTTGCTTGTGCTGAAGGTTTTTGGTTTTATTTTTTTGGTACTCTTGCTAATTGTGATACACTCACCATTTTGCCTTGTTGGTAAGATTTCCTACATCCATCTATGGACACGACCTGTATGAAAGTTTACAATACATGTACCATATCAAGGCATAAATACATGTTTTAGCAGTATGCCGCATATAACATATTAGGCAAAAATATTACCTTCCATTCTCTCTTGATGTTGTGGTACTTGTAGACTTGTTTTTGCTGTGAAGTTAGAGCCATGTTTTTCGTTGATTCTTTGAGCATAATACTCGTCATTGAAGTTTAAGTGAATTGCCCACCTCTCCCCATCATCTTAAGCTTTTGGGTTGAACTCGTCGGTGCTGCAACTCAATATGGTATCAGAGTGAGGTTTCGAGTTCGAATCCTAGTTAGCGCTATTAAATAAAATAATTGTTGCTCGCTCCTATTCCACGTCCTAGGGGAGCCTCGACGTGAGGGGGACTCTCTATCAGCTTAAGCTTTTGGATTGAACTGATCAGTGCATGCAACTCAATACTTGTTTTGGGTATGTGGTGTTTTGTAAGGGTCCCTCTATTTTCTTCTTAATAAAATGATATGCAGTTCTCCTGCGTGTTTGAGAAAAAAAAAACTCAATGCTCTTCACCTTCCTCAGAACCAACCGAGGCCTTCCTGCATTCCTGTATTTTCTCTTTGAAATAGAGGAGATCTTCCGCTTCCTGGGGCTGAGCTCATATTTAAAACTTTATTTTTCAAAGAATGCATAATTCAAAGTTAAGTGAATAAAAGAGACACATTAGTCTAAAAGCAGGTACAACTCAAAATTACCTCACAATTATAGTCTACACGTGGTACATGAATATAAGTATAAGAGCATCTCCAAGAGCACCCAAAAAATAGTTCCGAAAATCATTGAGTTTTCCAAGTTGCCAAAAATTTTTGGGAGCACTAAACAAGGGCTTCTCCAACAGTTTCCAAACAATCATCCCTAAAATATCAAACATTTGGTCCCACCGGCCTTCACCGCCGCCGGCGAGATCTTGCTCAGTGTGAATTCGATGCTCATGTTCTGGCTAGTCACATTGGTGTGCATGATGAGAACTACTAGTTGTTGCCTGTTAGGGTTCTTGGGGAGGTGAGCATCGGCGTGCATGATTGAGCACAGGATGACGTCGAACGTGGACCGCCGTGTCAGCGTGTCCTCTCACGGCTGGAGGCAGAAGCTCGAGCTCTTGAAGACGACGCACATGACCCCCCCGCCCGGTGGAAAAAGTCTGCAGGGGCTCGACACATGCTCCACTGCTGGATGATCTCCGCACGGACGGTTTCAGAGTTCCGGCAAAAGTCGCTACGTGAATCCTTTTGCGCGACGGAGCAGAAGCACGGGGAACCGATCCGCGAGCAGGATCTGTGCGACGTGGATGCGTGTATTTTTCCGCACCTAGGGGGTGGATTTTTGCAAGTGCCAAAAGATTGGGAATTGTGATGAGTTTTTTTCAATCTTGCCAAAAATTCTGGATTGGGAGAGTGTTTTGGATACTCTTGAGATGCTCTAAGCAGGTACAACAAAGGCACATGAATAATAGTGCAACCCCACAAGAGAAACATTAAGAATTCTCTCTAATAATTAAGTGTCTATTTTCAAACATTCTATTTGCAATAACATCCCTAAGCTGAGTCATCTGCCTTTGTTCTGCAATAGTGTCTTGATGGAAACGTTTTGGGTGATGATAGCTGTCTCCATAATTCCTCAGAGTACACAAACAGATCAGCTCTCCCATTTTGCAAAATTCAATTGTGAAGTATGCAACATTTTATGCAAACCTTCTAAAACACGGAGGCCATTTGGATGGTCAAGAGAGTGTATCAAGACAGTAGAATCATGATCAGAACACATAAGTGAACATCAAATCAAAATCAACAGCTACTAGCACATTTTGCGTTGCGAAGGGCTTTCGGCCACAACAACGATCTTCCATTCTTGCAGGAACTTTGCAGGGTATATGAGTTCCTCACCAACACAATCCTAGAAAAAATAAATGAGACACTTGTAAATTTGTTTACTAATATCAGTTAGCATATTAGCTTCTGAATGGGTGAAGCATACCTCAAAATATGGGTAAAACCTTCGGCTGTTTCTGTTTATAGAAAGTACATCCATTGTCTATGTTTAAGCATCTCAGGTCCAAGTTGTCCAATTGCATATAAAACTTCATTGAAATATCCACTCACAGTTTCAGCCGACCTTGTAAAATGAAACTTTATGTCCCAATTATGTTTCTTGTGGCCTACAGTTTGAAGACACATAGCAACTTATTCCTCAACCGAGCAATGCCAAGTGTCCCGGAGTGCATTCATGGAACGAAACTTGGTGCATATATTGAAGAATACATCTTTATTCATTCTAAGAAGATTAACACAGTCTGAATTCTGGCCATAATATATTTTCTCTAGGTATTTTATCCTCTATTCCTCTCCAAAATAGACCTTACAGGACTTCTTCTGTTATTCATATAACTGATTACTGCCCAATGTGCCACCATAAATGTAGTCATGAAAGTCAATTTTCTTTTGAACTCTGAAGCATTGTCCATCTAAATGAATAACAAACTGTCAAGCCAAAAGTACCAGAGTACTAGTAGCTGATGCTGAAGCCATTAGAAACATTATTTTCTATTCTCTTAGAACTCTGAACATTTTTACTACTCAAGAGTATGTTGTTTGCCCTCCTAAGTGGAACAAGACAGTACAAACATGCAATAATCCATCGATAAAAGAGTGTCAAACTTGCAAGGAACTGCACTAATCTCTCCGATCATATATTGGTTGCAGTAAGAAACAAATCTTAGCATGAAATCCACAGAATACTGGAAAGGTAAAATAGAACTTGAGATTACCTTGAACAGGGCTGCGAGAGCACAGATCAGGACCAAGGATTAGGAGACGATCATAAATTGGCTGCAGGAAAAAACAAATCTTGGTATCAAATCCACAGAATACTGCAAAGGTAAAAGAGAACCTCAGATTACCTCGAACAGGGCTGCTAGAGCACATATCAGCACCAGGGATTAAGAGATTGAATGGAATCAGAGAGAGTGAATAATTGGAGGCATTGGAATTGGAGAGGATAATAAAGGGGAACCTGGCAACCTGCTAATAGATGTGGAAGATGAGAGTACATACTTGCAACTTGAAGGACGGGATACCTGCAATTGGAACCCAGCAAGTAGTACAGGAAGGTTAGTTTGGATGACTAGCTAGAGCACCTCAGGACCTGTCTTGGGCAAGGTTTGCCTTGCCTTTGTGAGAAAGCCAAATTGGCTCTCCTGGGTGGGTAAGCTCATGAGCAGGCAAGCTCCTTGTTGCTTGCGCCAGGAGAGGCGAGGCAAGGCAAGGCTAGTCACCTAGGAACCAAGTAGGCCCTTAGTTCCAAGCAAGTTGGGGGAGGCTAGAAACACAGCCACCAATAAAAAGTAAAAACCTTGTAGTAAATGCAAAAAGGCCATTGATAATAGTAATATCACTAGGGAATCTAAAGCCTAAATCATCATGTATCAGAGTCTTCCGCATTATTTTGATGAAGTTATAGTATTCGATTGGCTGACCATTCTGCACATTTCTTGACAGATCGGATCTTATTCTGTTCTTGCTGTTCATGCATGGACTTATACGTTGTTATGTGCGATGCTGGGTAAATGCATGTTTCAGTTGCATGTTCTTAAGCACTTGAACCTAGGTGCTGTTTGGTTCATTTTAGGGAACAGTAATGTGAATGTAAATGAATCATGCTGCTATCGTTTACAGTTTAACTGAAAACATATTTTGTTTGGTTAGCTCCGTTAACGCTTAACATCTGATGCGACGACTCCTCTCGCTCGTATGTTCCCTGTTCACCCATCGATCTTCTTTCTCTTCCTCCGTCGCATCGGCATCGCCAGCGCCGTCCGGCCATGGTGATCGAAGCCGTGGCGGCTGAACCAGAACCTGAACAAGCCAACAAGGTGGCAGTGGAGGATCTGCTTCCTGAATTCACCATGGCCGATGAGGCACCTGAGCGCTCCTTAGCGGCGGGCATGGGCCAATACGAGTTTGTTGGGAGGAAGGCGTTGGTCGTCGAGGGCGGTCCTCAGCGGTGAGGCTCTTCTTGCGGCGGGGCTAGCGTGCAGTGGTGCTCCTTGGCGGCGGTGCTCTTTAGCGGTGGGTGAGCGGAATCGCGAGTTCACGAGGAAGAAGGGTCGGGTGACGGGATCGGATAACACGCGCAGAGGAGAGGCAACCGGATTGTATGGGCCTGTATCTGATAGCACTGTGATCAGTTACAGGCTGGACCAACCAAACATGTATAGCAACGGAACCCATTAGCGCTGTGTCCAAAAAGGCTGAACCAAACATGTTCCTCTTTCTCAGTGTTGTTTGATGTGTCTTCCCATATATGTGAAATTCTCAGAAGCAAGATAGTTGAGCCAAGCATCAAAAGGCAATTCAGCTACCCAAATGAGCAACTAAGCATGTTGGACAAGCAGTAGTCACTTGCGAATATTTCATGCATGATCTTTTAGGAGCATCCAGACTGTTTTTTAGGGCAGCAACTATTTGTAGTCCGTTGCAAATGCTTGGTTTTGTTTCACCCCATATATTTGCTGTATATCATAGTAATTTAAAAAAGAACAAGTGAAGGGAAATCATATGGTGTACAATTCTAAATTCCTTATAACTGTTGGTTCATTATATCAAAATTCAGTCTGTTTTCAGGTTGCATATAAGGTTTGGTTGGAGTCTTTTGGCATGTACCCTCTACCTATGGTAAAGAGAGTGAAACAATTCTGGACTTCAATGAAAACTTGGTTGTCTGAAAACTTTCCCGAGGCATACAGAACGTTGTGCAAAGGTGTTTCTGAAGCTCAATTAAAGTCGGCAGAGGATGATCTTGGTTTCAAGCTCCCTATGCCCACAAAGCTGTTGTATCGCTTTTGCAATGCTCAACTGCCTTTTAGTGAAGACCATGACGCAAATAAAAGCATTTCCACTCATGGATTGATTGGGGGCTATGCGTTTTATGATCATTGGGTGAATGTGCATTTGTCACCGCTTGAGCAAATAGTTGAAGAGACAAAGGACTTCTATCGGGAGTTCCATGATGTCTTTCATGGGCGCAAATTCATTGTAGTGGCGACTTCATGGTTTCGTCCCAAAACGTTTCTTCTAGATTGCTCAAATGGTGAACTTTATGTCGGTACATACAACTTAACTATAGGAGGAATGCTTCCCTGTGTGCCTAAAGCATTGATAAAGCCAGCAGAGAATGATCTAGCCCAAGATGGACTACTTCTGTGGTTAGAAGAGCTTCTTAGGCGTTTACAGAATGGCATGATCAAGACCCGTATGCTGATGACATCGAGATATATCAGCTTATATCCAGAAGCACCTCCATCATGGATGATTTCCAAATGGCATTACAAATGGCATTATTTCAGTAGTATCACATTTGGGTTTTTTACAAATGGCATTAAGGTTGTAATTCTTCACTTCCTACACAGTTATCTAGTCATTTAATTGCATGCCATAACTTTCTTGCACTCGTGCTTATATTTCAGTAGTATCACATTTGGGTTTTTTACTACCCAGATTGTGTAAGTAACTACTGTGGACTGCTCAGATTTTCTCTATATTTAGCTAATTTTGTCATTGCTACAGCTGTAGACCATTCTCATGGATGATTTCTTGAGCTTTGGTCTGACATATTTGATATCAATAGGTACGCTCGTCTGCTGTCTTTGTGCCAGAACATCCTGGGGGGCCTGGGGAAAAATTTATGTTCACTTACTCAATTCGCATGTCAGTTCCAGAGGCATGCATGCTAGGTGGTGTGTACTATTCTTCCTGCCAGCTTTGCTCCCGCCACTGGACCATCAGATCGTGTGACAGGGTTGTTTCTGATGTGAGCGGAGGAGGTGTTATCGGACAGGTATGCTGGGCTTGGAAAACGTAACTACTTTTTTGTTATTGACTGCAGTTACCTTTGAAAGGTGCTTAGTTAATGTGCCTAATCAACATGTCTTGTGCAGTATCCTGTACTGTTACCTGGTGAGGATGAGTTTGTCTACGAGAGTTGCACGCCACTGCCCAAAGTACCTGGATCTGTGGAGGGCTCTTTTTCATTTGTGCCTGGCAAGTATGTTCTGATTATCTAGAGAAGTTATGTTTAATATGATCCTGTTTATGGATTTAGCACCTTCATTCAGTTAATGTACTGATTAGAGATGCTATAGTTTTTCGTAGGCCACACTGTTTATCATTTGTTCTACTTTTCTTTGTAAGGTCGATCCGGCCTGAAGGGAAGCCGTTCGAAGATGGTGGCACCGTTCCCTCTTGAGGTTCCAGAATACGTCTTCTGATGGTCACAGCAAGATATAAATATATGTTTGGTTGTTGCTTCCCTGAAGTTCTTGCTTGGTGAAGGCAAAGTTTAGATGCTTGGCAAATCTTGTTGGAGTAATGTAAAATATGGAACCGTTTGCTCTCACTTGATATACGTTGCAAACAATCAGCACAGAACAACAGCATGTGCTTTCACTTGATGTAGCAATCAATGAGCACTGGAACAACAGCCAGCCCAGTAACCATCAAGGGCGTGATTGGTAGCCTGCTTCCGTTCGGTCCTAGCCTGTTACATGCAGCTCCGTGGTCATTAGTTGCCAGGACACGCACCGGGGCCTGGCAGCACGCCCCGCCGAGCCTGGCTCTAAGGAAATCGTTTCCGTTTCTTCCGGGCAAGCAAAGAATGAATAAATGTACCTTTGTGTGAAAACTTATGTACATTCTGAGTTACAAATTTCATGCCCACTTGGACCTAACATTTTCAAATTAGAGAAACACCACATTGAGGTTTGCAGAAGAGTCGTTAGACCCCCACTTTGTGACGCTTCCGCACTACTAAATCAGTCATGTTAGGAGCATGACTTCCAAATAATCAAACCGTTGTTGCAACTGTAAGAGAACATAGTCTCCAGTAATTCACTGTCCAACTATTAAAAGCTTGCAGATTAGAACACAGGTAAACAATTTATGTAGCCAATGCTTAGCGCATAAACATATAGCAGTGACAACACATGTCCACAGATGAAAATTGCGAAGCGACATTGGCCTCATCATAGTTATGAATTACTCCCTCCGTCTCAGGATAGTAGGCATAACTACTTTTTTGAGTTGTCTCAGAATACTAGGCGCTGGCTCCACATGCGTCGCTGGATCCACGTGTGGATTTATTGCTGGAGCGCTGGACTCCTCGTACCACACCCCTCCCGTTAATATCTAGACGTTACTCTCACGGTGAAGCTGTCAACTGAGTCTATATGTACCTCGAGTAGTACTTTCCTTGCATGCATCTCTCGCCTCCCCTCTCTAGCACTTCCCTTGCATGTGATGGTGATGGAAGAAATCGCGCCGGAGAAGACTCAAGGACAGGCGGCGAAGCGGCAGGTCGTGAGTGCCTGATGCATGCGCGCCCGATGCATGCAACGGTAACAGCAGCTAGAGTTCCGCCGCACTCGAGCGTTTCGTGTCCGTGCCATCCGCGCGCGGCAGCTGGCGAAGGAAAATTATGAAGATGTCGTCTCCATGCAGCAGCAAGCCAACGCTGAATCTAGAGGTCATCCGCTCGAGATCAAGGCCGATGTCGATCATGGCGTCGACTTCGACAGCATTCGGTACGTCCCTGACTCACTGGCCGGCGACAGCTATGTTCCGGACTCATTTAAGGACGTCGAGGAAGAAGCTAGCGTTGCTGCCGAAAGAGAAAAAGAAAGGGAAAAAAATGAGAAGGCCCTTGCAATCGTCCGTCCTATGATGTACAAAATTTGGTTTCCTAGTTTTCCTGAATTGCATGAATGATCTAAATGGTCACATGATGTAATCGGTTACATGCAGTTTAGTTTGTTGAAGATCAAACAAAAAGAGACATTCTGTAAGCTATGCAGTGATGAAATGCACTGCATCTTCATAAATTTCCTTATCTACTTACAGCCTTACTGGAAGTTGACCAATTCTCTCCAGTGTCGTTCCCTTCTTCAAATGCGGAATTGCATAATGCTACCCTCCTTTTGCGAGCATTATCTCCCTCATGCATGCTTGTAGTGTAAGGATTAAGGAACACCCGATTTGACCTGTCCACCGGGTATTCTAGATAGGCTTTAATCACATTAGCCTCAATTTCTAGGATGTTTGACGGAGATGACTTTTCAAACAATGCCTGCAAGGCTGCTGAAAGGATCAAGATGCCCAAGAGGGGGGTGAATTGGGCTAATTCTAAATTTCTTTGCAATAATTAAACTCTACAGTTAGCCCAATTAACTCCTTGTGCCTAGAAAGTGTTTCTATTAGTCTAACGCACAAAAGTTTAGCACCCTAAGTTCCAATCCTACTCTAGCATGGCAATTCTAGGAATGTAAATGACAAGAATTGAATTGCTCAAAGTAAATGCTCAAAGTAAAGAGAGAAGGAGGAATGCGGCGATGTTTTGCCGAGGTATCGGAGAGTCGCCACTCCCCACTAGTCCTCGTTGGAGCACCCGCACAAGGGTGTAGCTCTCCCTTGATTCGTGCAAGGATCAAGTGCTCTCTATGGGTTGATTCTTCGACACTCCGTCGCGGTGAATCACCCACAACTGCTCACAACTTAAGTTGGGTCATCCACAAACTCTCCGGATGATCACTAAGCTCCCAATCACCACCAAGCCGTCTAGGTGATGACAATCACCAAGAGTAACAAGCACGAACTCTCACTTGACCACAACACGCCTAATGAGAAGGGTGGATGCACACTTTGCTACTCTTGATCTCACTAATGAAGTCTCTCTTTGGGATTCTCAAATCTCAATCACCTCACTAGGACCTTGCTCTTCTTGGCACTTTCTAAGGTGTTTCTCAGCTGTTGGAATGAGCAAAAGTACCCCCACACACGAGTGGAGGTTGTATTTATAACACCAGCTAAAAAACGAACCGTTATGTACCTCTGCGGGGTGACTGGACACTCCGGTCAGTTCTCCCCGAACTCTAGTGTTTACAGTGTGACCGAACGCGTCTGGTCGAGATTTTCCCTCTCTGGAACCTTATTGGAGTCGACCGGACGCTGGCCCTTAGCGTCTGGTCACTTCACCTCTCAGCGTCCGGTCGCACCAGACGAAATCACCTTTGGGCAAATGAACTGATCGGACTCTGCGCCAGCGTCTGGTCACACCGGAGCCAGCGTCCGATCAGTATTTGACCCTCCATTCACTTCCAACTCTCGGTCATATGTGAATGAAGTTTGCTCCATTGGATCTAAGGGCTATTTTGGAGCTACCTAGTGTTAGTTTTAACAAGTGTGCACCACACCTAACTCACTAGACTCACCTAGGTCAAGCTACCCGTCCATACCCCCCTTCATAGTACGGCCAAGGGAAAAAACAAAGTCCTAAACTACTCTAAGTGTCTCTTCAACTCCAATCGACACTTAGAACTAGTCCATCCTTAACCTTGTCGTCCATCCTTTGAAAACCGAAACGATTTCCATCGTAGGGGCATGACCACCATAATTACCCAATCGATCTCCATTACCATGACCTAACTTAATTGCCTCTGCAAAACACACGTTAGTCATAGTAATCACGTATTGTCATTAATCACCGAAACCCATCTAGGGGCCTAGATGCTTTTAATCTCCCCCTTTTTGGTGATTGATGACAATACCACCTCGAGTATGTGAAAGAGATGAGGTTTTTAACATGCTTGGATCACATAAGCTTTTGACAATAAGAACAGAAGAGTTAGACAAGCTTATATGACCCAAGCCAACACAATGTATTCAAAAGATATGAAATAAGCATGAGTACAATAAATAAAGCTCATTTGCATCGGAGTAAAACGCGGAAGCAAAGGCAAATGAGCATAACACAAGTGATATGACATATAAATAATTCAAAGTAGAGAGCACACATGTCATATATCACGATCACGTAGATATCACTATCACATAAATATAGTTTAATGCATAAAAGTAAACACACGAATGCATAATAGTGTATCACACATAAACTCCAAATATAATAGATAAGCTAATATAATAACTAAGCTCCCCCTAGATATGTCGCTGCCCCTAAGGCTAACATACTCGAACCCTCTCCCCCTTTGGCGTCAAACACCAAAACCTGAGGGTCGATCGGTGGGGCTGCAGCGGACGAGCCGGGCGCTGAGGTACGAGGAGCGAGCTAGAACTGGGTGCTATCATCATCTGACCCTGAGCTCTGAGCAGTTTGACCCTCCGTAGTTGGAAGCGATGCTGAAACAGTCTGGGTTGGATCAGGGACTGGAGCTGCTATAGGCTGTGCTGGTATGACTGAAGCAGCCGGCTCTGATGATGCCACTGAGGAAGGGAGCATCTCTATAGTCCCGATAATAGGTGCAACTGTGGAAGGATCTAGGACATATAGATATGGTGGAGTAGGCTGCTCTGTCAACTCACTGATGGAAGCACCAAGGCTCCTGGACACTATAGTCTCTAGCATAAGCAGCGAGGACGTCTAAGCCAGTGTGAAGCCCGTCTGAAGAGGTGTGAACTGTGGGGCTAGCACTGGCGAAGCAAACCACTGGGACACCTGATCTGTAGGTGAAGCAAACTATGCTGGTGGCTGTCCTTGACTCTGAAGCCCACTAGGCTGTAACGCTGGAGTCATAGAAGTGGTGGCAGTCTGACCAAGCTGGGGCGAAGGCTGTGGCGGTGGAGCCCCAATAGCTATCACAACATGCTGCATAAATCCAAGTAGCTGCTGCTGCATGAGGATCTGCTGCTGCTGTAGAGCTTGCGTTTGCTGCTGAATAGCCAGCTACTATCGCTGAAACTCATCCTGCCGAGTTTGGAACTGTGCAAAAGTGGTAGCGGTCTCCTGAGCCTGGCATGCCTAATCCTACCTCATCCGCTCAAGTATGGCAAGTAGAGCGGGGTCTATCTGCGGTGTAGGTGGAGCTGAACTGGAGCTACCGGCCTCATGGTCATATCGACGTGCAGGCATCTGAGGAATGTCCTGGTAGTCCTTGTCTGAGCTGTCACTAGGGTCGCTCTCGACCATCCCCTCCTGCTGAGCAAGCTCCTCCTCCTCAGTAGCTGCTATGCCCCTAATAATATCATCTTGCTGGGCTGCAGTCTTTGGCACCTCTAGATGACGGCATGGCTAGCTAGGTGCACTGGGTGTACTATAATGGATCATCTGAGTCAAGTTGTAAGTAGGGAGCTCGGTAGTAGCACCACTGTACTCTGCTAGCATCTTAGGTGGCCTCACTGTAACTGCTCTGTGAATAAGAAATGTGATCTAGTGAGCATAGGGCAACTGACGGTGACCTC